CACCTGATGTTCTGCTGAGCTGTTTCTTTTTCTGCTTTGTTTGTTTGTTTGTTTGTTTGTTTGTTTGTTTTTGGGTCAGAGTTTCACTCTTGTTGCCCAGGCTGGAGTGCAATGGTCCAATCTTGGCTCACTGCAACCTCCAACTCCCAGGTTTAAGCAATTCTCCTGCCTCAGCCTCCCAAGTAGCTGGAATTACAGGTACATACCACCACACCCAGCTAATTTTTGTATTCTTAGTAGAGACAAGGTTTCACCATGTTGGCCAGGATGGTCTCAAACTCCTGACTTCGGGTGATCCACCTACCTCAGCCTCCCAAAGTGCTGGGATTACAGGCATGAGCCACTGCGCCTGGACTTTCTGCTTGGATTTTTAGAAATTCATCCACACAGTCCAGACACTAACCCTTTGTTCATTATATGGATCAAAGAGAGTTTCTCCGAACCAGCAGCTTACCTTTTTACTTTGCTTATGAAGACTCTTACCAAAATTAGTTTTTAAATATTCATGTAACTAAAATTATCGATGCCATCTATGCTTTTTTGAATTATGTTCAGTAACTTCTCCCCTACTCCCACATGACACAATTGTTATATATTTTGTTATCTGAGTTTCAAAATTTTGATTTTTTACATGAGTCTTAAATCCATCTGGAATTAAAATATGGGATTAATTTTTTCTTCCATGCAGTGAACTGTCACTGAATTATGTTTTAAACAGTCTTTTTCCCATTAACTGACATATCTCACAGAAGACATTCCCGTAGATTAACATGTTCACCGACTGGTTGATTTCTGTCTGGCTTTGAAATTCTGTTCCATTGATCTGTCCATCCACTCGTAATTTAATGCACTTTGGAAGGCAGAGGTGGGAGGATCACTTGAACCCAAGAGTTCTAGACCAGCCTGGGCAGCACGGCAAGACACCATTTTAATTATGAGAGCATTACAACATATCTCGAGTGTTCTTTCTTCAAGGCTTTTTGGCTTTGCCCTTGATTCTTCCACATGATTACGCAATCCTTGCATTTCAGGAATAAACTATCTTCAAATAAAAAAAAACTTCGTAATCAACTGTAGGTTCAAGTTCCTAATATTAATAATTAAGATTTACATAGTTCTATTCAGCAGTGAGATTAGCCTATATGTTGTCAAGGTTGTACTACTTCACAACATGAACTGATGAGCAGTTTCTCTTTTTTATTTTCTGCAACATTGATTTAATTAACTAATCAATCAGTTATTTAATTAGACAGGGTCTTGCTGTGTCACCCAGGCTGGAGTGCAGTGACCTGATCTCAGCTCACTGCAACCTCCGCCTCCCAGGTTCAAGTGATTCTTCTGCCTCAGCCTCCCAAGTAGCTGGGATTACAGGTGCCCGCCATGGTGCCCAGCTAATTTTTGCATTTTTAGTAGAGATACGGTTTCACCACATTGGCCAGGCTGGTCTTAAACTCCTGACCTCAGGTGATCCGCCCACCTCGGCCTCCCAAAGTGCTGGGATTACAGGCGTGAGCCACTGAGGCCAGCCCAGTTCCTGTGCTTTTATTTGAGACGGAGTCTTGTTCTGTCACCCAGGCTGGAGTGCAGCGGCAAGATCTCAGCTCTCTGCAACCTCCATCTCCCAGGTTCAAGCAATTCTTCCACTTCAGCCTCCCAAGTAGCTGGGACTACAGGTGTATGCCACCTTGCCCAGCTAATTTTGTATTTTTAGTAGAGACGGGGTTTCTCCATGTTGGCCAGGCTGGTCTTGAACTCCTGACGTCAGGTGATCCTCCTACCTCAGCCTCCCAAAGTGCGTGGTTACAGGTGTCAGCCACCAAGCATGGCCACATTTTTTTCTTATCAGTCTTGCCAGGGATTTGTCTACTTATCAGTTTTCCCAAAGGAACAGATCTTTGTCTCAGTTCCCCTTTTCTTTTGCTTCTGTTTTCTGTCACCAATTCTCACTCTTTCACGTGAGTTATATAGGTCTGTAAAAACTCTGGAAATACATACCCCAGGCTGGTGATGGCACAGCAGTTACCTGTGAGTAGGAGACAAATGGGGATGTGCTAGTGAAGGCAGATCGTTTTTTGTTTTGTTTTGTTTTTTTTTGTAGCGATGGGACGGTCTCACTTTGTTGCTCAGGCTGGTCTCAAACTTCTGGGCTTAAGTGATCCTCCCACCTTTGCCAAATGCTGGGATGATAGCTGTGAGCTACTCTGCCCGGCCTTGTCAGTTTCTGCTTATTTTTGGTTTTTGTTTTTTTGAGATGGAGTCTCTCTCTGTCTCCCAGGCTGGAGTGCAGCAGGGTGATCTCGGCTCACTGCAACCTCAGCCTCCTGGGTTCAAGCTGATTCTTGTGCCTCAGCCTCCCAAGTAGCTGGGATTACAGGCGCCTGCCACCACGCCTGGCTGATTTTTGTATTTTTAGTAGAGATGGGGTTTTGCCATGTTGGCCAGGCTGGTCTTGAACTCCTAACTGCCAACCTCGGTCTCCCAAAGTGTTAGGATTACAGGCATGAGCCACAGCACCCCGCCGTCACTTTTTATTCAATAAAAAGTACTGTATTTTTTGAACTTTTCTGAAATGAGAGTATATCTGTGCATTTCTTATATAACTTAAAAAGCAGCAATTAAGAGCAAGGTAACTGTGGCACTGGGACGACCCAGTTCTTAGAGAAGGTCGTATATCGGCTGCTTTTCTCTGCCCCTGGGAGAGCTCTGAAGGGATAGGAATAACCCCATTTCCTCTGGGATCCGAAAATCTTAGTTTCATACTTTCTTTCCTTTTTGAATCCAGACCTAGTTGCACTGCAGTTTGGTTCAACTTAATCTCATAATGGATGTCGGAAATGGCACCTCATGAACTGAGAAGGCGCCTGTCCCTCACACCAGCACCGTGGGACTTGCCCCTGCCCTCTGGGTTGGCGCTGAGCCCTCTGACCTGAGCTCTCACCTGCTGCTGCTTGGGGTCGCCCTCTGCAAAGACAGGGACTCGTGTGTGTTCACCAGTGTTTCCCACACCCTCAACAGTGCCAGAACACGACAGGCGTTCAACAAAAATGTGGTGAAAAGAACTGCAGGGCCCACGGTGGTGAAGATTCGCCATGATTCGCACTGGGACGTAAGGGCAGCAGGCTGAGCCGTTTCCACATTTGGAAGTCTCCTGACTCCACCTGCTTCTAAGGTCACCATTCCACCGCGGTCCAGGTGTTCACCAAGCTGAGCTGAGACAGCAGCACCCTTTCTGCCCCGCTAGGCTCTGCCCGCTGCTGCTGCCACGCCGGGTCCCGGGATCTCTGTGGGGCTCCCTTCCTCTGGGGTGGGCAGCTCCTCAAGCTGGTCTCTGCGCCCTTGGGTTGAGGGTGGCACCGATTCCTCCCTGCCCTTAACGATGCGCTCAAGCTTCGCCCCGTCAGTGACACACTCTGTGGTCTGTCGGTCGCACAGTCTGGATCTGAACCAGGTGCTGCCGCATACAGCGGCGGTCAGCTCAGCACGCGAATTCTCCGGGCCTGCAGTGTCTGCACCCTGGAATGGGGTCGGTGACTGTGTACACGTGCTGCGGCTGTCACGAGGCCAGACGTGCGCGGCTCAGCGGGAAAATGACAGCGCAGGCCTCGAGCTCGCCAGGCAGGAGCTGAAGCCACACTCGCCCCCACGCTCCAAACACCAGGGGCTGGCCGGGCTGCCCCTCGCATCCCCTCCTCCCTGCAGGCTGAGCACACGGCCCCCTAGACCCAGCACCACAGCCAGGCTGGGGACCTGCGGAGTGGTCCCAGCCCCTGGCCCTGCCCACTCCACGGCTCCTTCTCTTCCCAAGTGACCTGACCTGCAGCTCACAGCCTATTATTCACTAATAAACATGAATTTCATAATTAAACATCAATAGACAGTAAAGTAGAAAGGTTTGAAAAGAATGATTTTCACCTTAAAAAGTAAGTAATTACTTAAAAAGCGACTGTAGATACATACAGGGTAATTATTATACTCTTACTGGTAACTCAAACTCAGTAACACATACATGAAACCAAGTGAGCCTCTCAGAGATTCTGTGACCAATACAAACTGCACCGTGGCACTCGGTGGACACAGAAGTTGCCAACCGAGGGAGGGGTGAGCCAACCACATGGCCCCAGCTGCCCGAAAGTGCCAAGACAGGGCACGAGGCCCCCTGCCGGCCCGGGGTGAGCAGCTGCTGCAGCCGGGACCTGGGCACTCACACGGCCTTCTCCTCTTCAGCTCAACTACAAAGACTTTTTTTTTTTTTTTTTTTTTTTTTTTTTTTTTT